CTCCCCTCGCGGAGACGGTGTTCTCCTCCATCAGGGCCATAACAGTCTCCTTCCGCTCATCGCACTTCACTCGAATGTCTTTCACACTATTCTCTACCTTTTGCTGCACGCCAATACGATGTTCCTCCATCTCTTTTCTGGCCTCCTCTGTGAGCATAGCCCGTCGCTTCGTTGCGGCCTGTAGAACCTTACACAAACGTTCCGCCTCCGTCTTTGTTTCATTTGCCCGCAAAATATCTAATTGCAGTTCATCCACCTCCTTGTTTGTAGCCGTGACTTTCTTTTTGATAGCAGCCAGCTCCGACTCCTTCTTCTTCACCTTCTGAATCTCCGCTTGTAGCACATTCTGCACATGGGATTCCCCTTTTTCGGCAAGGAGAGAACTTACAAACGCTCTGGCCTCCGTTTCTCTCTTCTGATTACCTTGAATCTGTCGTATAGCGTCGACGGCGCCGTCCACCGGCTGTCCACCACCGGGGGTCGGCAGTCTATTTTCCTCCCTCGGCTTAGGATAGACCGCTGTGGCGGCGGTGGTGGTAGGGGCGGCCGCTGTTTCTCCTTTTGCGGCGTCCACTCCCTCTCTCTCGCCGGTGCGGTGAGTCATTTCCTCGTGTGACTTACGTCCCTCTCTTCCTCCTCCTCCTCCACCCCGTTGTTGTTGTTGTCGGGCTTTCCCCTTCCCGTCCAACGCTGGCAAATTCCCTGGTCTCTCCCAAACCCACAGACTCTCTCAGTCGTCATGCAAACAAAAGGAGGGGAGAGAAAAGAAGATGTCGGGACGCAGAGAAAAAAAAAAAAGAAAAAAGAAAAAATACACACACAAAAATGCGAGCAACAAAAAGAAAAAAAATAACAAAAAAAATGTAAATAATAAAAAAACGGCCCACACACACACTCTCTCTCTCTTTCTCAAAAAGACCCCGCAAAAGAAACCCACTACAAAATAGACTCGGACACACCCTTCTTTGCCGCGATAACCCGCTCATAGTAAATCACAACCAACCAGCTGATAATCGCCTTCAACACCAACATGGCGCCCACGTACAATGCCATACCAAACAAGAACTCCACGGAACGAATGGGTGTCACGCAAAACCAGGCATCCAAATATGTGATGAAGCGACGAATGTATCCAACCCTTCCACGACGCAGCGCCTCCGCCACTAACAAATAGCTTTCCCATTGTAATAGAATAGGTGGTTTGCGATTTCGAAGTTCATGGTAACAGTTGTACACAACTCGCCAATCAAAAGGGGTCATATTGAGATAAACCCGCATAAGAGAATTGTATGTCATGGCCGTCAAATGTTTCCCACGTCGATCCCGTGAAATGTGATCAAACACCTCAACTGCCTTTTCCCACTTTGGTGGGTTTTCCATCGCAAGAGACGTGATGTACAACTCATAGTTTTTTGTATTCGGCGATTGGCCACGCTTTACCATCTCCTCAAACATCTTCTGGCACGCCTCAGGCATCTCACGTTGTATACACATGTGCATCAACGTGGCGTATGTATTGGCTGTGGGGGTCATACGACTATCGATCATGCGACGGTAGAGTTCCATGCTGGCTCGTAACTGGCCACCGTCCATTAATTTCATGAGATGTACTTCATTCGTTTTGGCGTCCACACGAAGTCCGCCAGCCTCCGCCCCTCGTACCGCTGCAAGCGCCAAAGCGTGATCTTTTGGCTGTAACTGCTCCAAATAGCGACGGAGTTGAACGTTACTGGCGGTGCGGGCCAGAACCGACAATCGAAATGTCTTTTCCACTTGCTCCGGCGTCGTGGCCTCCACATGTGGTCTCCCTATCGTCACAGTCCGCGAGTCCTCCCCAGACCTCCACAATTCGGACGACGACGACGCTGGTTTCACGTGTGACATCTCCGCACGAGAGGCAGGCGTCGCACCTCCCACTCCTGACGTCGAGGACCATCGCACCGCGTGAACAAATCGTGAAACACGTGGCCAACAATACGCACCTCTAAAAACCCGCATCCCACCGCACACACAGTGGACAACGCGAGAGGGCGAATGGAAAAAGACAGCAGTCATCCTCGTCCCTTCTTGAGGGTCACAGACCCTCTTTGACTATTAAAATTACAATAATAATAATAATTTCAAAACAAAACAACAAAAATCATGCACATGCACAGCAAAAAAAAAAAAGAAGAAACAGAACCAAAAAAGGCGGTATCGGAAACTCTCCCTCCATGCAACCCAAAAACATAAGCACGCACTAATTATCCAGTACGTTCCTAAATAAAATTATCCCATCAAACAACAGTAATAATAATAATAATAATAATAATAATAATAATAATAAACAAAAATAAATTTATTTATTTTATTAATAATTATTCAATAGAGTGACCCTTTTTCTCATCTGTGCTCAAGTCACACACACACACACATACACACATGTGTCATCTCAGCCTTGCAGCACACCGAGCAGAGAGTCCTCGTTGTAGAGGAAGAACTCCTCGCCCTCCACCTTCACACTGCTGCCTCCAAATTCAGGGAGCAGCACCGTGTCGTCCACCTTCACGGTGGGCGTCCAGTCCTTCGTCGCAGCGGCAACCGCGACCACGGTGCCCTCGTTCACCTTGCCGGCAACCTGCTCAGGGATCAGCACGCCGGCCTTCGTCTGCTTCGCCGCAAGGGTGCGCTTCACCAGCACACGCTGGCCCAGCGGCTGCAGCTTCTTGAGAGCAGAGACGGTGGTGCGGAACATTGGCGAAGTGATCTGATGCGTCTGTTTCGGGAAAAGAAGAAGAGGTGAATTCTTTTCTTTTTTATTTTTTCTTTTTTTCTTTTCGGTGTTCGCGTGTTGTTGTGGCAGTCGCTTTGTGTTCTTCACATGTGCGCAGACACGGGTGGAAACAAAAAAAGAAAAAGAAAAAAAAAAGGGGGGCACAAGAAAGGAGGGGAGGGGATGGAGGGAATGGCACAGAGACACCGGCGGAAGACAACCATCACAAGTGAAAAAAAAAAAAACAGCTGCAAACAAATAATCCAATGCGGCGCTAATTCAAAATTCCAAGTCGTTATTATATATATATATATTTTCTTTTTGACGCTTTTGATGGAGTCGATATGACAAAACAATAAATAAAAATACAAATAAAAATAAAAAAAGGTAAAGATGTATATGTGTATATAATTACACGATGCCAAGTATAAAGCAGGTCACACACACCGTATCAATATGTACAGAGAGGTGTATGGTCTCTCCGCCCTTCAAAGCAAAAGAAGAGCTCGGAGCAGTGAAAAGAAAGCGCCTGAATTTAAATAAAATGTCTCGTTCTCTTCATTGATGCAAATAAGTGTCTCAAAGTTCCCTTCTTGAATCATCGAATCGCTTGCCTCATTCATCGTATAGCGATTGTTCGCAAGAGCAGCCACCGTTCCTTTCACTTCCTCCTCAGTCCAGTCCAAATAACGGTGCTCACGGAGAACTGTAAGAAGGCGCGACAAACTCACGGAGCCTGTTCCCTCAATGTCGGCAACACCGTGCAGGCGCGCCGGAAGTGTCGCATCGCGCCTCCACGCCTCACGTAATTTTTGTCCTTTCAGACGGGGAGCCAATAGGTGGCTGTCGGCTTCCATCTCCTGAAATGGCCTGCATAAGAAAGAAGAGCTCCCAGAAGCCACGGTGAGGGTTTTATTTGACCCCACGACGGAGGAATCCCCCACTTTTCCCCCAGTTATGGAACTGACGGATATATCTGCTTCTTCCATCTGCAACATTTCCTTCTCCAGGACATCCATATCCCTCTCTCCGTGCAACAATGGCAAGTTAACGCTCAAATAAGAACGTGCCCGTCGTATACACTCCCATAGGGAAGCTATCTCACGCCCTGCTCTTGCGGTCGAATCGGTGTGCCCCACCCGTGAAGGAACGGAGGAGACGTTCTCTTTATTCATATACTCCGTGGGCATCGTAAGAGTCGGCAGCTGACCTCTCACATTTTCCTTTGCCCTCTGCTCGGAAAGGGGAATATTGACACTAGAAGTGATGGGAGAAGAAATCGTGTTTCTCCTGCGTCGCTGCGGCGCAAAGTTATGTCGTTGAGGTGTGTAGGAGGACGTCGTGGACTCGTGTAACGGCCGGCGTCTTGAGGAATGTTCCACGCAACGAACATCACTGCCACCGTCTTTAGTGGAGTCCGCTTTCAAAACAATCCGCAACGAATCAAAATCCAGCGTGATGTCCCCATCCTCACATACGGTCTCCTCCACACCACCCAACACCTGTCGGACGAAGGCACATAACACCGGTTGATTGCCTGCCACTCCTCTACCAACCTCACCGTTGGACTGACGCCCAATTGCCACAGAGCCCTCTTTGGACGCATCCGCCAGCACCACACCGTCGTCACTCGCCGCGCTCATTGACAGAAGGGGACCCTGGTAGTGCTTGACCAGGCGGGGATCATCCACATCTCGCAGACCCGATACCAAATTGCCACGCCAGCCCATTATTGTACGGCTGCAAGTGTTTTGCAACTAAAAAAAAAGAAAAGGGAAAAAACAGAAGCATTACAAAAAACGGCACCAGCAATAAACAGATAAATAAAACACGTGCAAGCATAAATAGATATGCAAAAAAAAAAAAAAAAGGAAATCAGATATGAGTGAAAAAACAGCACTATGGATTTTTTAACAGCCGCCTCCGACGGATGTGCCGTGCACCGCACACCAATGCAAAAACGTCCGTCAAATCATCCACAGCTGAATCACCACAAGAATCACAAATAAATAAATAAAATAAATAAATAAATAAATAGGAAAACAAATAAAAAAATAAATGGTGCGACCCTTTTTCTCATCTGTGCTCAAGTCACACACACACACACACACACACACACACACATGTGTCATCTCAGCCTTGCAGCACACCGAGCAGAGAGTCCTCGTTGTAGAGGAAGAACTCCTCGCCCTCCACCTTCACGCTGCTGCCTCCAAATTCAGGGAGCAGCACCGTGTCGTCCACCTTCACGGTGGGCGTCCAGTCCTTCGTCGCAGCGGCAACCGCGACCACGGTGCCCTCGTTCACCTTGCCGGCAACCTGCTCAGGGATCAGCACGCCGGCCTTCGTCTGCTTCGCCGCAAGGGTGCGCTTCACCAGCACACGCTGGCCCAGCGGCTGCAGCTTCTTGAGAGCAGAGACGGTGGTGCGGAACATTGGCGAAGTGATGTGATGCGTCTGTTTCGGAAAAAGAAGAAGAGGTGAATTCTTTTCTTTTTTATTTTTTCTTTTTTTCTTTTCGGTGTTCGCGTGTTGTTGTGGCAGTCGCTTTGTGTTCTTCACATGTGCACAGACACGGGTGGAAACAAAAAAAGAAAAAGAAAAAAAAAAGGGGGGCACAAGAAAGGAGGGGAGGGGATGGAGGGAATGGCAGAGACACCGGCGGAAGACAACCATCACAAGTGAAAAAAAAAAAAACAGCTGCAAACAAATAATTCAGCAAACCAAAAAAAATAATTTGTCATTTATGAAAAATATAATAAAAAGAAGCTAACAAAAAAAGTATAATTTTCCAACGGCCGCAATGTATGACGGGGACCCATCACCCGGGATGCCTTGAGCAAGGAAGCACAACTCCGCCAACTGATTCCCTCGAGATTCCGGTGTGGAGGCAATGACAGCATCTCTTGAGGAATCTTCCGCAAAAAATAGAGCCACGGCCACAGATTGGTGGCCCATTGGGGTCTCTCGAATGTAATCAATATGAAGACGTCGAAGGAGCAAATCACCGACAATGGCATCTACGCCCACATCTAGCAAACGGGGGAAGACGGTAGTTTGGTCAAGCAAAGCAGATCGGAAGGTGTTGATGACAAATTGGATAAGAGCCATCTGATTGACATGTTTGTTGAAGTCTATATCACTTTGTCTGATATGAAATTCGCGACGATAGGTCACTGTCAACGGTGTAACTGAGGCGTGCGTGGCCATCTTGTCTACCAGTTTGCAGTACGTCGTATCCGTAAACAGCCCCGAACGTGCCAAAAAGTCGGCAACATCAATGCGGACAACCAATGGAAGACCTGTGCTAAGCTGATGTCTTCGCATGGTCTCCAGCAGCATCTCCGCTCTTTCCTTTGGGATAGGCACTGGCCGTCGACTTTTTTTGGAGACATTCACACCGGTGAGTTTAAATACACCAATGGGGAATTTGTTCTTTTCATCCGCGGCCTCGTAGCGGAAGATCTTGCCGTAGACGCCAAAGCTGCTTTTGCCAACATGCGAGATCCAAAATTGTCCCAAGAAGAAAACAGATGCTGGCGTAATTTTGCCATCAAACTTCGGAAATTCGCCCACCAGCTCCACGTCCACGCCGGCAAAAAAGACAGTGACGTCCTCGCCAGACTCCACGTAACCCTCTTCGACCGCCTCGCTCGCGTACTTTGAGTGGGCATCGCCACTGTGGCGGTTGTAACACCAGCCGTGCTCCATCGCAAACCGCATCCCAAAATTCGCAAGGCGATTCACCGTCGTCACATCAATTTTATCGTGCTGCAACGGAACAAACGGACTCACTGGAATGTGATAACTGATGGCTGATCCATCGGTGTCCACCATAAACATTTTTTGTTGTTGTTTGTTGTTATTTTTTCGCCTATAAAATAAATAAATAAATAAATAAATAAATAAATGCTAATCTTTCGTATTTTTGATCCCGCAGCGACAAACGCACCTACGTATGTACTTACGTGTGCGTACACGTAATTCCCTTCCTTATTGAATGAGCACTTCCCTCCCATACAATGATACACCACGCATGCACACACAAACATAAATAAAAATAAAATAAAATGGAAAAGTTGCAGGTTAACAACAAAGCGGTATCGGAAACTCTCCCTCCATACAACCCAAAATCACAAGCACGCACTAATCATCCAGTACGTTCCTAAATAAAATTATCCCATCAAACAACAGTAATAATAATAATAATAATAATAATAATAATAATAATAAACAAAAATAAATTTATTTATTTTATTAATAATTATTCAATAGAGTGACCCTTTTTCTCATCTGTGCTCAAGTCACACACACACACACATACACACATGTGTCATCTCAGCCTTGCAGCACACCGAGCAGAGAGTCCTCGTTGTAGAGGAAGAACTCCTCGCCCTCCACCTTCACACTGCTGCCTCCAAATTCAGGGAGCAGCACCGTGTCGTCCACCTTCACGGTGGGCGTCCAGTCCTTCGTCGCAGCGGCAACCGCGACCACGGTGCCCTCGTTCACCTTGCCGGCAACCTGCTCAGGGATCAGCACGCCGGCCTTCGTCTGCTTCGCCGCAAGGGTGCGCTTCACCAGCACACGCTGGCCCAGCGGCTGCAGCTTCTTGAGAGCAGAGACGGTGGTGCGGAACATTGGCGAAGTGATGTGATGCGTCTGTTTCGGAAAAAGAAGAAGAGGTGAATTCTTTTCTTTTTTATTTTTTCTTTTTTTTTTTTTCGGTGTTCGCGTGTTGTTGTGACAGTCGCTTTGTGTTCTTCACATGTGCGCAGACACGGGTGGAAACAAAAAAAGAAAAAGAAAAAAAGAGCGCAGAATATTTTTAAAAAACAAAAGACAAAAAGGAAGCATGCCACCAGCACCACCACCGTCACGGTCAGCAGTGGCACCTGAAAAGGGCCTTTTCAACATTCCTTTATGTGAGTGACATTTACATAAAGGCAGCTACGCCATTTGTACATGAAGAATAAAAAAGAAAAAAATAACGAGAAGAAACACACACACACACAAAGACAGATAAAGAGAGAGAAAGAGAGCGGGAAAGAAAGATAACCAAAAAACAACAACAACTCCATGGCAAAAGAAACCCGCACCACATATGTGTTACGTGTGTTCTTCATGCATTAAATCCCTCGTATTCTACTTTACATGAGAACGGATGTCTGGCAAAAAGTATATCTGCGGCACGTAGTCTTTGCTCTCGTGCAGAAATTTAATAAGTTCATACTGCACCTGGCGAGCAAAGGAACTGCTCTCCGCTGTGAGTTCATTGAGGTTCTTCTTTCGGCATCCGTCAGAGAGAATAGACTCCTCAGTGAGGAACTCAAACGCACGAGCCTTCGCATCTATCAAATCCTTATGATCCCGCATTTTCTCCCGCAGTTCCCGATAAAATACCGTAAATCGATCATAAAAGAAAATTTGGAGTTTTGGTAAACGCAGGTACTCCAGTAAATTCAAGCCACTACCATTACCAGTGTCGTTATGAGAACATCCCTCATGTTTACTGCTTTGATGGCTCGATTCATCGCGGTTGGCAATACGGGCCTCTTCGTAGCGGTAAATGAGGTTAAGCAAGGACTGCGGCATACCAATAAGACACACGTAGTTATGCATCTCCGGTGCACCATTGCCAAAGTACACCACCGCATCAATAAGGTGCGTCTGCTCGTCAATGTAAATCACAAAGAGGTTCTGTTCGGGTATCCGCGTTGGGAGGTCTTCAATGTTCATGGATGGTGATGCTTCCAACTCCTCCATAACCGTCACGACGGGCTTATTCTCCTCAATATTGGAATAAAAAAGCCGCAGGCACCGTTCCGGTTTAAAATCGATCGATCGAGAGCAGAAAAAAACGTAATTCACAGGAAGGCGAATGCGACTAGCCACGGGGGAATTGTACGTTGGCAACTTCTTTTGCAGCTCTGCTATGTTTTTTTTACCTTCCTCCGTCGATAGCGCACCGCCGCTCATTAAAAAATCGGCTCCATTACTGCCGTTCTCCTGCAGAACTCTCTTATATAACTGATTTTGAGCCGCCGTAATCTCCTCTTCTTTATCGCCCACTTCACGAAGGTTCTTATCGGCAAACTCGTCAAGACCAAAAACACCAAGAAGAATTTCCGCCAAACTTGTCCCCACATCACGTGTATTAAAATCTTCAAAGCCCGGGGTGGTGCCGTAGCGGCGCGTAAACATCGCCACAGGTCCGGCGGCGTACACGCACTTATCTGTTGTCCGGTAATTTGCCTCAACAATGACACGCCCATCAAAGACAATCGAACGTCGATTCAAAGTGGAAAGTACATGACTGTCAATGTCCTTGTCTTCACAGCAGACGATAAGACTGCAGCCCAGTTCCACGGAGTTTGAAATACCCGCTGTATTATCTCGATCGCCTCCCTCCTCCGAGAACAAAACTGGAGACACCACGACAGTTGTCAGAGCACTGCCATCATCGTCATATTCTAATCGAGTAACATAGTAACCACGCAAAGTATTTATACCTAATGAGTTACACAACTTCACAGCACAGTCAAATGCATCCTTGTCCAAAAAAGGGTTCGACGTCTCTGGACTTACCACGACAATCCGTTGCGGAGAAAAGCCAAGACTGACAATAGACGTCGCAGTCGCAAAGGCATCTAAGCCGGAGCCATAAACAATAACATTGCTGATATTATGTGGATTTCGATCCAAATCATGTAAGTGTTGGCGTAGTTTTTCAACAGAAGATTCTCCAGAAAGTGCCAGCGTGCCTTGTGGTACAAAACCACGTTGATTATTGGACAGTGGCTGTTGAATCAATTGCTGCAAACAACATATGGAGTTTGGCACAACGTACTGGCGTCCTGTTGTAAGAATCACGTAATCGTACGGCTCGTATGTACCGTCGTCAATGCTTACATATTTCTGTGTTGTGTCAACATCCATGACAAGGCCATGAACCACACGGACAGGGTTTCCAACAAAAAGACCCATTTGTTCCCGCTCAAGCAACTCCATGTGGTCCGCAAACCATAATAAACTTTGCTGATTCGGATGTGCAGGCATCCCATCGGTGGAGACAAGCACAATATTTCTAAAATGCACATATGGAACGGAAAGAAAACGATGAATACAAGCCAAACCCGTAGAGCCGGCACCAACGACAATAATGCGGGTATTTATTATTTTCTTTCGGTCTCCAATTATCCGTCGGGTACCGACGAAAAGACATCCCAGCGCCACCGGTTCTTTTCCATCAATTTTGTCACCCCCCTGTGACCCCATCTCTGCAACAGCCATCGGCGTCTTCTCCTGCACGCGACGGGGTGGGGCACGGAGTAACTGCCGCAGCAACGGTGGGAACGGCGAGGCCTGGCCATCTTCCAAGACAAGTGTCACCTCACAGTTCGTGTGGCGTAATATCTCTCGGAGAAAAAAAGAAATATGACAACGATATACGGGCTTTATGTAAAAAAAGCGCACCATCACGGCCTGCATCTCTCCTCGAAAAAATTTTCTTCGTCCCTCTTCAGCGTTGAGATGAATGTCCGTCACCGAGTAGTCCCTCGGACCACCCACGTGGTAATTGACAAAGGCATCCACAGTATAATTGGCGCGCAACGCGTACATCTCTCCCACCTTCACTCGCCGTGTTGAGGCTACCCCAACAATAAACGTCTCACCCTCTCCACCAAGACGAGACTGCAGCATAAACGACATCGAGTTTTGTGGCAAATTCTCACGAGATGTATTCTCTTCACTGCTCACTCTCATGTCTTCCAACAATGTCGCGATGTTTTTTTGAGAAAATTCCACAAATGGCTCATTAAGAAATGCAGAGATACTTTCCACATCGTCGTTTTTAAGCACCGGCTGGATCCAAATGGGATCGGCTGCGTATCGGCAATAAATCCATAGTCCCTGTGGAATAGGAATCACCTCTCCCCTTGCGTTCCGCGGCTGATACCTCCGCAGTGGGACATGCTCAAATTGCTGCAAAAACGGTGGCTCGTCCTTTTCATGTGGGAGGATGATCATGGCGTACTCGACGTACGGGAACTCTTGAAAGACAAAGGGCAGGAATTGATCGGCACACATGGCGTATTGGGGGTCAATCTGGAAAAAACTAATTTTCACCACATTTGGGATATCCAAGGTAGAAAAATTTCCAGTGTCCTTTCTGTTATTCATAGGGCGAAATTTGTCAAAAATCTCCGTCATGTACTGCCGTGATACCCTCTGCTGATCTTCAATGGTCGCCTCAAGGCACATGATGCCAACCACACGGTGACTTACGGCATCTTCAGCAATAATGACTTTGTGAAAGGCATCTTGATCTTTAAGTAGCTCATCCAGATAAAACTCCTCTGGTAGTGCAGTGATGAGTCCATACCCCCTTAACATTTCTGGAACAAAGTCATCGTAGTCCTCCATAATTCCCAAGCGGAGTTGAAGCCGTGGCACCAGTTTCGAAGCAAAAATGCGAAGTAACGAACCTTCAAAAAAACAATCCGAAAGGGAAATAGATTTTTTTCCAAGGCACTCAATTGGCGGGTATTTGCAGTCCAAAGGAAAAGGAACAAGCAGCTGCATCACTCCTGGCATATTGATAAGCGCCGTAGACAGCAATTCCGAAATCATATCCTCCTCCTCGTAGCCAAAAAGTAACAGTTTTCTCTCCGTCCTTATGGCATCTAAATCACGTGGGTCAATAATATGCGACAGAAAAGCACTGGAAGGAGGTGCAAGAAGAGATTTCAACCAGAGTGTGTTGTACGGTGCAATTTCCACATCGGCATAATCACTGTCATTATTGTCCTCGTTGTGCTTCAGTGTGTTTTCCCAATTTTCTGCAAGAATAGAAGTCACATGTGGTATGTCATCCAAACAAACAAATCCTGCCACCCTTCCGGTGATTTTAGATGTTGCGGTAATGCAAATAACGGAACGTTCAATGAGGGCCAAAAAGTCTGCCTCCGTTCTCCACGGAAACAACGCCACGGGAGGGACGCATGGCGTCACTGTGCCAAGTCGTGTAAGTTGTGCAATGGCCGCCGCGTCGGTGGAGCGACTGCGCCGCAGAACCACGTGAAGATCCTTCTTTGCGCTCATTTCTTGCATACAAATAAACCAACCTTTTCTCCCTCACACACTTCTCTCACCCACACCCCTTGCCGTTTCCCTTTTCTGTTTTATTTTTTGTTGTATTTTTTGCCTTTCTTTTCCTTTTTTTTTGTTTCTCTCTCTTTACTCTAATTTTGTTCTGCCTGCGTCGTTCTGATCCCCGTCCGGGGCCTTTTGTTTGTTTGTTTGTTTGTTGTCTCCCTTCTCTTGCCTTCTTTACTGCGCTGGCCCCACCACGCCTGCACTCCTCTCCTTCGATCCCTCGCAGCTCAACAGGACGACCTCCACACGACAAAAAAAAAAAAAAAAAGAGAAACAAACCAACAAACCAACAACAAGATGAATTGCAGGCGTTGACATGCAACCCACACACACACACACCAAAAAAAAAAAAAAAAAACACCTCAACTGAAAATAAATAAATAAATAAATTATTCCGTGTTGTTGTAGTTTTCCCTCCCTCCACCGCTCCACCATCGCACTCACAGTAGCATTAAGGAAATTTCCTTCCAGCCTCTCACACTCCCTCTCCATTCATGTCTCCCCCGCCTTCCTTCGCGGTCGCGGCTCACTGCCCCGCATGAAGACAAGAGCGAAAACGCACACACACGCAGTGGAGAGAAATAAAAAAATAAAAAAAAAACAGAGAATGAAGCGAGAGTATGACGGCAAATAAATAAATAAAAATATAAATAAATAAAGGAGGCTGTAAAGAAAGGCAATGCAAGGAGGCAGTAAAGCCCAAAAATTACTGACAAAAAAAAAGAAAAAAAAAAAAAAAAGAATATTTTTGAAAAACTGTTTTCTTCTCTTCTTCTTTTTTCTTTTTCTTTTATCCTCCTTTTTCCCCTAATTCCTTCAGTTTTCCTCCTCATAATTTTACCCGCATTTTTTTTTTCCCCCATTTCCTCCCCTTCGCTCTCTTCCATTTTTTTTTCTTGTTTCTTTTTTTTTGTGTGTGTGTTTCTTCATAACGCTTCACTTTGTTTAATTCTCTTCATTTTCCCTTCTTGCCCTGCTCGTTTGGCCCGTGATCACAGGTATTGCATACACACACGCACGCACCTTCCTCGTGTCTTCAAGCCAACACTTCCATAGAAAGGAGACCCTTTTTTTTTTCTTTTCTTTTTTTCTCTCTCTCTCCCTTGTTTTCGCCTGTTATGTCTCATTTATTCTTCTCTCCTTCCCCGTCACGCCGTGTAAAATAAAATTTTGGAGCAGCGCATGGCTCCACGGCCTACTCACCCTTAAGGGAAGCCAAAATGTTGTTTCGGATTGTGAGCATGTCACGTTTTTCGCCCTTTACATCGCCCTGCTTCAATCGTGCAATGCGGCCCAGTTCCATCTCCACGTACTCCGCGCCCAGCTGCAAAATCTTCTCCGCGATACGGGGGTACTGCACAGCTTCCACACCGGTGAGATCCGCCGCCGCCTTCTTCACCTTCTCGAGGCACTGCTTCTTCTCATCCACGCTCTTTTCCTTTAACATCATATCCCGCAGCACCTTTGAAAGCTCGTCGTTCACACCAACCTTCTCGGAAAGATCACCAGAAGGAAGACGATTCTTCCCGGTACGTTCATTGACATAGTCAACAAGTTCTTCAAGGCTGCGGCCGCCACTGTAATACTGTGGCTCACTTTTACTCTTCTTTTGGAAGAATGCAAGTGTCGGATACCCGTCAACTTTATACCGGTTTCGCACTGCACCATTAGATGCATCATCAGCGTTCAGTTTTCCGATAACAATGTCCGCTTCCTCCTTGAACGCCTTCGCAAGAAGTTCAAAAACAGGGTGGAGTTTCTTACAATGCCCGCACCATGGCGCGTAAAACATCACAAGGGCATCCTTTGCCTCGTCCATGACAACCGCATCAAAGTTTCTCTTTGTGAGCTCCACCGCGTACGTGTGTTCATGGGGAGTGCCAATATTAAGGCCTGGAACTTGCCTGTTAAGAAACGACAAAAAGGCAGGGGCCTCACGGGCTTCACTGTATTGCTGTTTCGTCTGCGAGTCGGCAGGAAAAAATAA